TGCAGGTCAGGATGTGGGGACACTGCACCGGGGCTGTAAAGCAGTGTCCGATAAATCAGTTCCGTCTGGGTCCCGAATGCTGCCACAAAAATCCTCTTAATTATCCTCCTGAGGCAGATCTTCTCAGCTACCAAGGATGTTGCTTACATGGGTCACTGAAGGGCCCATGTGATACAAGTGCTTTATAAAGACTGTTATTCTAAATCCTGGTTTATGATGAGGAAACTGAGGCACAACTACAGGAAGCAGCTCTCCCAAAATCACCCAGCTACACGTGGTCCGTGCAGCAAGCCATACAACCTTATGTCTTTGAAATTGCCATAAATGCCAGAGAGACAGTGGAGAGCAATGAACTCCAGCAATGGTGAGTGTGGAAGAAGCACAAACTCTTCTTCCCTGTGGGCTTTGGCACTCTGTATCAGACAGGAATTAGCTTTCCAAACACAGCCCTCAGCCTAATTCCACTTCAACCTCTTTTATGCTACGACGTTTCTGGACTTGATCCCAGCACCTTGTCCTGTGGGGCCCAATGAGCAAAACACCATGAGGGGCCCAAACCAAACCCTGCGAGTGGTGCAGGGACCGCAGGAGGCAGCTGCAGTTCTTCCTCTTACATCCCTGTGTCGGGATGGATCGATGCAGTGTCATCCCTCTGTGATGTAACCGTCCTGATGGTGGTGCTTGAGCCATGGAAAGTGATGTGATTGATAATCATTATGTAGATTCCTGCAACATCGTTCATCCAAGTGTGCCAAAGCTCTTTACACTCAGTAATTAAGATTCATAAACTGTAAATTGCATAAAAGATATATGGGGATCTTTTCAGGGCTGAGATGAAGCCAGCTCTTGGGTAGGATGCTGCAGCTGATCTACACCCTGTAGCAACTGTGGTTTCTCTTTTTGGTATTATTTTTGTTAACTATGCTCTTTGAGACATTTTGGTACCTGTGCCCAGAGGCTGGTTGGAGGATAATGAACTATTATATATGGGTTTTGCATAATGAATGGAATTATTTACTTGGCACATAACCTAAGAGGCTGGTAATGGACTAAAATATTCAAAAGGTGGGTAAATCTGAAAGAATGGGATGACTCAGGGAACACAAATTAACATCTTCTGTCAAAAGATTGCACCGAGTCCTCTACAAACACTCACAATAACTGGGAGTATAAAGAGAGCCCTGATGGAACCAGCCTGATTCTCCAGTGCACTGCATGCAGTTTTCATTTCCAGGTAGCTGTGGGTGATTGAAGGGTCTGTTTCACAGATGAAGTTTTAGGTTTCAATTTATATGTTGGGGTTGAAGCAGAATGCAATGTCTGACTGAGTCCTGCTCTGCCAGGCTGTCTTGGATGCAGTTTGTGGTAAAATTCCCATGGGAATTTGTATTCTGGACCTTCTTTCTGACCTTACATATTGATCGTTTTTCTACTGCCACGCCCTTATATTCAGCTGACAGTGCTCCTCTGTCTGAGCAGTGGCAGAAGCAGGCATGATTCCTAACAGGTTTATTTAGCTGTGCATACCTGTTTCAAGCTTGAGCAGACCCTTCCATGCTGGAAAACAAAGTCTCCTGAGGCTGCAAAGTGATATTCCTACTATCAGTAAGGGGAGGCTGTCAGAAACCTGGCCCGCTGGTAATGTGGCTTTGGGGTGGGTATATGGTAGGCATGCCCTGTCGCACTTGAGGAGGAGCAGCTTCTGTATTGTAATTAATTTCCAAACAGCAGCTCCTTTTCCAAAAAACTCACCCAACCTGTCAAGGTCCTTGGGATAATTCAATTATCTTTGCATCAGATTCTAGATAACTGATGAAACCTCCAGCTATAAGGATGTTTGGCATGAAGTACATTTCCCCCCCTTTTTGGGAACGTGCAGAAGGGTTGAAGCTCCAATCTACAGTTAAGTCACTGAGCCTTGGACCCCGGAGATCTGAATTGGAAGTATGAGTAACATCAGCTTCTGGAGGTTTTAACAGAATGAGACAGTTTAATTATCTGAGCAATCACTTGAAATATGACTTCAGGACATAGGTTGGCCAACATCAGAGAAGCTGGGGAACACCTCCCTAAATTAAAATACTCCAAGGATTAAATAAAAGCCTCCCTGCCTGGTTTTCCCTCTCCATAGCTACAAAAATAAACAAACTTTAATATTTGAAAAGATCTAAGTGGGATGCTCTTGTTTGGACAGAATTAATATAGCAGAACAAGACCATGCTGATAGCTTGGTGTCTTTGATAATGAATCACAGAGAACTGTTCTGCTCAGTTGCAGCATTTGAAACAACATAAAGGTAACAAATCATGTTACAGGCCATTGCCCCTGCTCACGTCTTTGGGATGGTCTATTAATTTATTTACAAGTATTTTCATGATGTTGGGTTTGTATCTCATTTATAGACTTCTTGCTACTTTGGGAATACTAATAATAGTAACTATATGACTAGGGGCATTAACAGCCTCAGTCTTACTCTGGAATCAATACTAATGTCCAAAGTATATAAGGGCTCAAAGATGCCTTTGTATAGAAATTTAATACAATCTTAAAAATCAGATATTCTAAACATTGCCATTAGCTTTATTAAAAATTACATAATGTAATTTCAAACACATAATTAGACACTATAGACAGACTTGCAAAATAAGCAATACAAACAGTGATCACTAAGAATCCAAGAATTAATGGTGGGGGAGAGTGGGAAAGGTGCAGCACATACATATAATGGTGCACAAGAGGATGCTGGGGAAGCTGTAAAATTGAGAAGACACAACTGATGCCATCACAGGAGGGGTGCTCCCAAACTGCAATCACAGCAGCTGCAATTACTGACTTGTATTTTTATCCTTTTATTTATTTTTTTTTTTAAATGGGAAAACAAGTGGCTGCATGCACACAGAAAATTCATTACAAGTTTGGATGTGGCTGACCTCAGTCCATTAGCTGTAATGGGAACGGGAGAGTTGGTGCTGGCTTCTCAACTGTGCTGAGGATTTCAAAGAAGGGAATTATCCCACATCCCAACCTGTAAGAAAATTAAGTGATTTTATTAAAACACTCTAATCCTTCCTTGTCTCCTTCCACTGAGCCCATGCCCGTGGAGGAAGGTTTGTTCCTCTGTGCCTGGTGACTGAGCACAAGCAAGGGGTGAAGGATTTCTGTCTGACTTGCAGTGTCAACATCTAAACCTTGAAGTCTAATACAAGAAAAAGGGGGGCGGAGGAGGGGGGAAGAAACCAAAAAGCCTCGTTCTCAACAAAGGTGCTGGTGACTGCTGCTGAGGATCTGTTGGGCAGTGAGCTCCAGCAAAAGAGCACTGAACAGGAAACAGCAAAACCCCAGTGTCTGTAGCTGCTCCCCATTCCTGCCCTGCTGCAGGCTGCTCCTCGCAGGAAGGAAGCCTTTTCTGCAGGGCTTTTGTGCCACTCTGGAATTATTCTTATCTACTGAAAAGAACCCGGGATGCTCCTACCTCCAGTCTGTCCAGCTGGTGCCGCCACTGCTATGTGGGACTCACCTCAGGTAACCTTCCTCCACTTCACAGCGTTCTTCCTAAATTCTTGGCCGTTGATGGTGTCATAAATACTTGAATGAAACCAAGTCACAAAATAAATCTAGCTTAAACGCATTTTCCGTGGTTTCCCATGTACTCTCCCCCCTTTTGTTTTTTCTAAATGTCCCAGAGCATGTGAGAAGTGATGCAGCCCAGGAGAGCAGTCGGGTGTTCTGCAAACCAGGAGAAACGGGGGGACAAAGCTGAGTGTGATTTTGTCCCTTCAAAACTTGCCTGGAAGTTACAGCACAACAAGCGCGCACACTTTTAAATGCAAGGAAAAGACACACAGAAGCTCCAGTTAAGCCCCAGCCATTAACGGCAGCATTTTAACCCCGACGTTTTGTCCGTGAATTCAGATGTAAGCGGTGGTTATTCCCACCGCAGCCCCTACCCGCCCGCAGTCTGGGCGCACACCAGGAGGGGGTGCCAGCCCCCCAGCTCTGCCGTGTTCCCGGGAAAGGCCGACTCCGAGCCAGCTTTCCCCGAGGGCTGCAATTAAAACACCCCCCCACACACCCCCCCCCACCCCAGATCCGAAGGGAAAACTGTTGTTTTTGACCAAAAGCTGCCGAAATACCTTTAACTGTTCCAGCGGTATCGGCAGTAAGTGCCTGCAACCCTCCTGAGGACAGCAGGGAAGGATAAATCTATTTTTTGATATATTTAGAAAAGGATCCGGCTTTGGTGGAGAGGGGTCTTGGGGAGACAGCAGAGCTTCTGGAGATGGAGAAATCCCCGAGGCAGAAGCATGAGATACCAATTGATGCTGCAAAGCGACCGGGAGGTTTAGCGAGAATAAAACCTGGCAGATACGTGAAGTTTCAGAATGACTGTTATAAAAATGCAGCTGCACTGGGAGGCGCAGCTTTGATACCTAAAGTAAGTCCAAACCCCCGGGCAGCCGTTCCGCCTCGCTCTCCGCTCTGCCTTTAACGCTTTAAAACCTGGGGGATTAAAGGACGTAATTAATGGTGCTCAAGAAGCAGACCCTGAGTGAGAAACCTCGCAGCGAGGGGCCGGGGTCAAGGCTCATCTCCTCGGGCCGTGTGCGCCTTCCTAACCTCGCCACGGTGACACCCGAGAAATTCCCACAACCCCGAACCCCCCACGCGTGTCCCTGTCCGGGGAAGCTTTGGCCGCGGGGCCGCAGCGTCGCATCCGCGAGCAGCGGGGTGGGAGTTAGAAACATTAACGATACCCTCTTTAGGGGCCGTTCCGCAGGTGGGAAAACAGCGGAAAAGCCCCCAAATCGTGTGCGCAGGTGAGGGGGGGCCCCGCTCCCGGGGCTCCCCCTCCACCGTCCCCGCCCGCCGCGGGTGTCGCAACCGCGCCCGGCCTCAGCCGCGCCCCGCGGGGAGGAGAACGGAGGCGGCGCGCAGGCAGCGCGCAGGGGGCGCGGGCAGCTCTGCCGGCCCCGCGCCCGGCCCCGCCGGCCGCCCCGCGCCGCGGCGGCGCCGATGCTGTCGGTGCCGGTGGCGGGCGCGGCGCGGGGCGCGGGCTCCCTGCCCCGCCGGCGCACCATGTGCAGCGGCGTCGGCTGCTTCTGGGCGCTGCTCTCTGCCGGCCTCCTGGCTGCCTGCGCCGCCGCCTTCCTCTCCCCGGCCTGGCTCCTGCCGCCCGGCCGCGCCGCCGCCGGCTTTGGCTTGCTCTGGCGCTGCACCGGGCCGCCCCGCAGCTGTCACGGCTCCACCGGCCCCGGCGGCTTCGGAGACATCCCCTCGGGCTCCTGGCAGGTGAGCGCCTCCGCACCGCGGCGTCCCCTTCCCGGCGTCCTCTCGACATCTCCCACCCTCCCTCCCATTGCCCCTCACCTCATCACCTCCCCGGCATCCCCCCTGCCTGCCTTGGGCTCCCTGCTGTCACTCCATCACCTCCTGGTAGTCCCTCCGATCTGCTCCGGGCTCTCTGGCACCCCATCTCTCTGTCATCCTTCCCGCATCTTCCCTGACCTGCCCCAGGCTCTCCAGTCTCTCTGTCCGCACTTCCCGAAGTCTCCCTGTCATCACCTCAGCATCCGCTGTTCTAGGTAGGCTCCCCAGCATCCCCTCATTCTGTCCCTCAGACCTGCTCCAGCATCCCTGAGCTGCCCTGACCATCTTGAGCATCCTGTGCATCCCTCATGCTGCCCCTGAGCATCCCTTTCATCCCTCATTCTGCCTCCAAGCATCCCTTTCATCCCCTGCATCCCCTCCAGATCCCCTGAGCATCCCCTCAGCATGCCTCGGCTATCTTGTGGTCCCTGTGAGGCCACATCTCTCTTCAGGATGCTTGGCCATGCTTGGGGTGCTGCATGGAAACCTCCCGGGCACCTTTGCACTGATGTGGTGACCAGTGCAGCCCAAGTGTGGCTGTGGTCCACCTCCAGCCATGACCCTGCAGGTCTGACCCAGCCATCCTGCCCTGCTGGGGCCTCAAATCCCTATGACCTGAGTGTATGTTCGGGAGGGAGTCAGGAGGAAAGCAGGAGAGGTTTGATGCTCCCAGGTGTGGCAGCGAGCGTCATTCTGTGGCTGGGTGGCAGGAAGGAGTGAGGATGTGGCTGAAACTGCTGCCTCTGGGACATGTGGATCCAGAAATGGAGCCTGGACATGGGGCATTCTGGCTGTTCCCCTGCCCTGCCTGGGTCATGCCCTTTAGAGGTTTGGGGAGGGAGGAGGCCAAGGCCTCCCTGGCCCTGTGGAGCCTGGGGTTGCTGTGGTGTCCTGACGTGACAAAGAGCTGCCTGTCCCCGCTGGGTGTGCACAGGGACCACACAAAGTCCAGCCCAGCATCCCACAGCCCATGTGCCCCTGCCTTTCCTCCTCCCATCTCCTTTCCTTTTAGTCTTGGCTTCTTACCCTGAGGTTGTGTGAGTGTGATTTCACTGTCACTGCACAAAAGACATGAGCTTGACTTTATCTGGGTTGCTACATTGCAGAAACCCCCAAGCAAGGGCTAAGTCCCCGAGAGGTCGTTGCTGTGCCTGGCACAGTGGTGTCAGGAGTCAGGAGTTGAATTTCTCTGCCTGCCGTGGAGCTGCGCTGTTATCTCTTCTCAGGACTCAGGACACCACGTCTGCATGTGATTGCTTACATCCCGTTATGGTCCTTAAAATTGTCATTAAAGACAAATATTGTGAATTGCAAAGAACTGGCTGCACACAATCCTTCCTGTTTATATAAAAACGTGCACAAGTGCTGTCGTTTCCGTAAGCTGGCCTTTGTTCAGATGTTTTTGCAAATGTAATGCAGCTAAACACTTCCAAGTAATAACAAACTTTAAAGATAAGAATGAAGCTCAGCAGTGACTCATTTGAACAAGCTTCAGCTACACACAGCCTCAGCCAGCCAATAGCCTCTGAAAACACTTCAGATCCAGAACAGTGTGAAGCAGAGCCTCTGAGCTCCCGAGCTTGGGCTGTTGTAGGGATGAATATTATGGTGCCAGCTGGAGTTTACAGGGGATTTTGGTGACACATCCTCATCACCTTTATTAATGCCACCTAAATAATTAATGAACACCAAACAGCACAGTCTCCTTCAGGAGAAAGCACTCCCTGACCAGCTTTCTGCCATGATGAGGATGAGAAGACCTCTTGTGATGGTTATTTGATGGGCTGGGATATAATAAAACAGCCCTGACAGCTTTACTAAGGCAGGCAGCAGCTTTTGCTTTCCTGCATGAGCAGCCCTCAGAACCTGCACACCTCAGTGCTCTGGGCAGGCGGAGCTGAGTGCTGTGAGCCCTGTCCACAAGTTCAAGCAAGAGATAGTCCTTTTTGGAGAGATGGGGAAATTGTGGCTCTTTTTTCTCGCTTACAGAACTTGTGACATTTCCAGTCTTTCAAGCAATCTTGGGGGTAGCTCCTTCTTTAAGTGAAAGCCAAGAGCCTAATGTGAACAGGAATCTAGGAGCTTTCGGAAACAGCCACCAGCTTTTTGCTAGAGAAGCGGAGGCTAGTGAGGAGGGAATGAAGCTGTGGTTGGAGGAGGGCAAAGGAAGTAAAAGCCGACATGAGCTCAGGAGCTCTTCAGGCTTGAAACTGGTAGCACATCTGGGGGTATGCTGACAGCATACCTGGGGAATATGTCCACCTGCAGCACACAGGGAAGGGGTAGGAGCAGCCAGCAGACAGGATGTCGATTCCCAGGGAACCCTTTTCTTTTTGTTTCCTGCAAACGTGCCTGTTTACCGTGTTTTCAGTGTTTCCCTGTTCAAATGCACTGAAGGAGTGGGGGAGCATTCAGTCCTGCAAATGATCATTAATGCCAATTGTGTGTTTGCACTTGGGGGATTATGTTAATCATGCTACAAATGATGCTCTGAGTCATGTCTAGAGGTTAATTAACATGCCTTTCTTCTCTTAAGAGGGCCTTCATGTCTGCTTAGAGTTGCTGGCTTTTTTCTGCTTCCTTTCATAATTACTTTGCAGCTCTCTAATATCATGGGTACCTTTAATTTAACCCTGCCAGTGCTCAGGCTGCTGAGGCTTTGCACCGTGCTCAGCATCATGATGGTTATTTGATGGAGTGGAATACAATAAGATATCCCTGACATCTGGAGATGTTGTAGCCGGGCTGAGACCTTGCAAGGAGTGGAGGAAAACTGGAGAGGGTCTGGCTGGAGCCATGTGAGAAGAGAGGATGGTGGTGGTGATATTGCCCAGAGGCCACAGCCAATTTGTTAACAAAGCTTTTACACTGACAATTAATGGGAATGGAGGATCCATTGTGGGAGGACTTGGAGCTGAGAGGGCTGGAGGGGGGCATTCTGAGGGGTGCAGGCGCTGCAAGGAGAAGAGATGGCTCTTGGGAGGCCAACTGATAGAGCTGGGTAAAACAGGTGAGCTTTTGAACTCTGAGATGCTTCACTGCATCTCGCTACTTCTCTATTTTTGGTGCTAGATCGCTGTGTGCGTGCAAAATAGTGCTTTATCCTGAGCTAATTTATTTTTGCTTTCAGTGGGAGCATTTGGCTCATGGGTTCCTGTCTCAGTGCTGCACTTCGGAAGCTAGTGCTGCTTCATTTCAAATTTCTATTTTTATTTTTCCAGATAGTCTCCAATTATTTTCAGGCTTTGCCAAGCATATAATCTAAAATAACAAAGAAGCTGATCCGCCCATGATGTTCAGGATCAAACCACATGGACCGTTTGCCTATGAAGCCAGCAATGCCCTGCTGGAGCAGAGCACAAAATAATCCATTCAGGACATGGGGGAAGGCTTTGCATGGCTCCAGGAATTCCCTGAGTGGGTCTTTCCTGGGTTTTTGTCCATAGCAGGACTTGACAACATTGAGCAAAGCTTAATGAAAGTGGACAGTAAACCTGCTTACCCTGCTGAAAGGTTTCATAAACCTCCATTGATGGCTTCTCACCGTGTCAGTTCAGTGCTGGGTTCCTGACATAATCTGAGGTTTGCCCAGTGGGGACAGGTTTGTGGAGCTATGCAGCAGCCTTGTTGCCAGTGAAAAGCACACGGGGTGCTCCTGGAGATGGGAAGATATTTGGAAAATCCATAATTTCTAGCATAGGCTCTGGCACAAGGGAGAGCTGAGTATTTTGTGAGTGCAATGTCACTTAAGCAGGGAGCCATGTGTGAGACTGGCTCTTGGGCAGTCTGCTCTATCTCTGGGGGCCGTGTATCAGGCCAGCATGTTAATTTAGGATTATCAGGAAATCAACTTTTAGCTCCTCATCCTAAGAACTTCTCAAGAGAGCAGATCCTTCACAGCTTACTCTGTATACCAGAGAGTTTGATTTTTAGTTGCACTTATACAGCCTTTGCAAGAGGTGTAAGTGCTCAGCAGTTCCTTGAAATCACCATCTTCTTTAGGCATATTACCTTGCAGTAGACTAGCTCCCTTCGCTAGCCACCCAGAGGTTTTTGACCTACATTAACAGAACAGAAAATACCTGGTGTTGGGGAAACCTCTTCATTCCTGGGCTCTGTCCCATGCTTCAGTGCCCGCACAGCAAACCGTGATCAGGACTCGCTGACCACTGAACTGGTCACCATTAAGCTGGGCTGAAATGGGTGCTGATGCAGGACCAGCTTATGGGTGGGCCATAGAAGATCAAGTTGATTGAAAATACAGACTGCTCTCAGCATTAATTCTATCAACTCTCTTCTCAAGGGGAGATGGAAGCTGCTTTGCTTAAACAAAGGTGTGGGGAGGAGGGTATCAGCCACAGTGTTGCTGCTTGACAGCTGCAGGGCCAGGGGCTGGGCAGCAGCCAGGGCTTAGCTGTGTCCGCTCATGACAGTGATGACCAGTTCATGCTGGGTCACCTGCCCACAAACATGCTTAACAAACAGTGAGTCCTGAACCCTGCTTCTTGGGAAAGGCCTTGCATTTCCCCTTTGTGGGGCTCAGAGTCTGGCACAGGGTGGCAAGGACATGACAGGGACATTTTGATGGTGGGACATTCCCTCCATCCTCCTGAGACTGCAAATCCCACTCCCGTTGGGCTCCTCTCCACTGGCTTTGTAAGGAAAAGCCAGATGGGAGAATTTTGTGACCTGTGGGGTGATCCCCAGCAAAAGACAATGAGCCCAGCTTTGCTGCCAGCACTGGAAAGGGCTTATCCCAAGGAAGAATAATAACAGAGTGCTGGTAAGAAGGTCTGATCTGGTACCCAGCAACAGCGACAGCACACTGCTTGCTGCCTAATTAAAATTTCATTAAGTTGGTTCGAATCCCTTGATGGAGGTCACAGGCACACCATTGATGTGCTAATGTCTTACTTTTTCCC